AAACCGTCATGAAAAAGCCACAGGTACCTATATAATTTTAAGTGCTGTATATACCAAAATGCATGCTAGGCCTAGCTATACTTACTGTTGCCCTGGCCAGTTTGGGGCATTTTGATGTCCTGAGGCAATATGTGCTATGGTGTCTGGCTATTTCTTCTCCATGTTGTTACTGGATTTTAGTTTCACTTGTACATAGGACACACATGAAGAAAAGAAACACATTATTGGAGTTTTGGTTCTGCACCAGGCTTTTAAAGTTAGCCAACTATAAAAGGTATCTCTATTTCTGCTAGCCCAAAGTTTCATGAACTCAACACTTCAATGAAGTCTGAAATGGGTTAAGAGAGAGGAAAGAATAGGTCATGTTATTTTAGGATTTTTTTTTTTTTTTTTTTTTTTTTTTTAAACTTAACCTTTTGCAGCCCGACAACAGAGCACACTATTATTGGGGAGGAAATTATTTTTCCATTTGTCATGTACAACCATCTGCCTCACTCCACCCATCTCGCTGATCCCATGGCACACCATGATAAATGTAGATTGTGAGCATGAGGCCAACCTGATCTCAGCTGCTGCGATTCATTCACAATAACATTTGAAAGATTTCTTGGGCCAAACCACACGTGGATCCAGTCCCCAGTGCCGGGGGGGTGGGATGCCACATCTTCTCACTAAGACAGGACCCTGCCGTGGAGAACCAGCGTCCTCCAAAACCTGCACCATCTCTGCCTGAAGCTCATGACATCAGGCCCAGGAGTCACACCTGCAGTGGATCTGGATTGTGCCATCCTGAATCACCACCAAAGCCCAAACTGTATTTCAAGTACCATAATCTCTCGCAAGCCACATGTGCCTCCCCCCCACCCCCCCAAAAAAAAAAAAAAAACCAAAAAACTAGCTGTGGTAGAGTATAAATGGTAAGTGAGGAAACACAGTACCAGCAGTTTCTGCCAGACAAAAAGTACCTCTCCACATAAAGAATTAAGCAGAGTTGGTTCCCTAGCTGCTATTACTACAAGAAAACATCTTTTCCCCCCCCTTTTATTCCATCTTCCAAAAATTAAGATACGTATTTTATGGTGGGGTGTGTTGTGTGCAAGAAAAGTACAGCAACAAGTATTTTAGTCCCTGTTCGACTCCCTCCATTTCCTCCTTTAACCTTCAATAGAGAATAAGTCACCAAGCACTGGTCTCCCATATCCCTGGCCCAAGCCTGGCTAATGAAGAGGGGGTACATCTACAGCCATCCTTTCTTTC